TTCCTGCTGCGGAAAAAGTTTATTGCCCGTATCCAAGGTGCTCTGCTTTAATATCAAAACGTGAGCTTTTAGAACACTCCAAAAAAACCTTGAGGGATGTGGAACTATCAGGAATTAGGAAATGCATGAAATGCAACTGCCTTTTCTGCATCAATTGTAAAGTCCCTTGGCACAAAAACAGAACATGCTCTGACTACAAAAAGCTGAATCCTTATCCCCCAGAAGAAGATACAAAGCTAAAGTCTCTTGCCTCAAGGAATCTGTGGCGTCAGTGTGTGAAATGCAACCATATGATTGAACTTGCTGAAGGTTGCTACCACATGACTTGCAGGTATTTAGTCCCCATTTTTTGGAGTTTACCCCTCATAATAACTTTTCGAAATTATTTTCAGTAAAAAAAATATGTGAGGGAACAAGATTTGTTTTAGACATTTCAATCTACCTCAGTCATTGAGGGTGTTGTATACACTATTGATGTCCTAACTAGAAAACAAAAAGGCCATATTTTTTGGCTCTAGAAAATAATCTGCTTGCTCCAGTTTCCTAAGGAATGGATTTGAAAAATAAAAGAATAGCTTAAATCCCGTAATGGGAGTTTTGAGATGACTTGCTAGTAAAAGTAGAGGGCATGTGGAACACAGACTCGAAATTCGAATCTTGTGCATTGAGTGATCATCATACTATTGTTTTCAGCAGTAATTTAAATGAGGAAAGAGTTAAGACAATCTATGTGTTTTGGGAGTTGAGAAAATTCATATTTGTTGACATTTAGTCTTAACCATCAAGAGAAAACATGTGTGCAAAGAGTGCTTGATGAAAATGGTAAAAATCAAATGTAGATCAAGTTGAAGACAGAATGGGAAAGGGTTGATCACCTTTGATTTGGTAAATGTCATGATAATATAAACCCAACTAAGAGGATCGTTGACTGGTGTTTTGTTGCCCAAAGTTGTTGGGAATCTGGATTTTATCAGTATTCTTATATTGTAATTGAAATTTTGAAAGCTGTTGTACGTCAAGTTTGTGAGTTACTGTATTTATGTGATCTTGGTATTCTTCCTAATGGGTTTATTTCTTTTGCAGATGTGGGTATGAGTTTTGTTATAATTGTGGAGCTGAGTGGAAAGATAAGAAGGCAACATGTTCTTGCCCACTATGGGATGAGGGTAATATTTTGTACGATGAAGATGAAGATGAAGATGAAGATTCAGAGGACGTGACAGAGTCAGATTCAGAGGAGTATTCTGACTACGAATATCTTTTACCGTAACATCCCCTCTCTAAAGTCATTCCCTCAAATTTTCTCAGAATGGAAAATATTCAATAGTCTTTATATTAATATGTTGTGTAAAGTATCAAATGGTTTGTGGCAAAAAAAAAGAGTATCAAATGGTTACTGCTTGCTCAAAAGGATTTCCCATCTCTTGATTACTGTAAAGAAAGGAAGAACATGACAGTTTGAAAAAAGAACCCACATTATAGTTGACAAAGAGAATGTGCACATGATGACTGTGATGAAGACACAAGGATGAACAAATGTGTTTTATAATTTTATATGTTTGTATCAGTGTGCGTGTGTGTTTCAGATTGTGTACCATCCTTGGGAATCTGCATTATTTTTTTTATATTGTTCTAATTGTGATTGGAAGCTGTCGAAGGTCATTCCACCCGAAAGAAAAAGATGCAGATCAAGTTTGCAAACAACTGTTTATGTGATCTTGGTACCCATTGTCATGCTTTTATTGGTTTTGCAGAAATGTGGCGCCTGAGTTTTTCCGTGACAGTGGAGCTGAGTGGAATGTCGAAAAGGCAACATGTTCATGCCCAACATCAGATGAAGATGATATCTTGTCTAATGAAGATGGAGACTTTGAGGAGGAGGAAGAGAAGGATGAAGATGAGGAAGAAGACGAATATGAAGATGAAGATGAAGATGAAGTTGAGGATGAAGATGAGGAAGAAGACGAATATGAAGATGAAGATGAAGATGAAGTTGAGGATGAGTTTGAGGAAGAGAAGCAAATATTGTCTGCTGAAGATGATGCAGATTTTGATGAAGAATATGAGGAAATTCAAGAGAAAGAGGTTGGGGAGGACATTCAGGACAAAGAGGAGGCGGCGGTTGAAGAAGGTGAGCATAACTTGTCTGCTGAGGACGATAGAGATTTGGATGAAGAATATGAATATGGGGAATATATGGAGGAGTATTGTGACTCTGACAGCGAGTGCTATGACTCTTACTCAGATTATTAATTGTAACAATATAATACCCACTCGAAAGAATTTTGTGTTCACTGACTTCTTGTCCATGAGGTTTTCCGTTTGATGATCCATCTGTTCTGCTCTAATTTGTTTTGATACCGTTAAAGGAGAGGAGGAGAAAAATGAAGATGAGAAAGACGAGAGTTGAGAGGTAAAGAGAAGGGGAGGAGAATTGAAAACCGAAAAAAGTGTTTTTTGTGTGTGATGTGTTTAAAATCTAATTAACAATTATTGAATATTAATTAATTAATTAACGAAATCTGATTATAAGTAAAAATATGATTACAAATAGGTCATCCGTCATCTAGGGATACTTTCGTGTTCAAATTAGAAGATACTGAATTTTGATTTTAGGAAAGTCAATATTCCAATCCAAGTCATTTACAAAAGTGCTGCTTAATGAGAATAGTAGTATTATGGTCACATGGTATAACTTGTCACCTTAAATCTGAAGACTCGATTTCCAAGATGCTCTTGGTCTCGTCCTTGTCCAGCAAGTTTCCATTCCTTTTTGCCTTCCCTTGCACGCTTTACCAATATGTGAGTTTTATCACTAAAGGATCCATTTTAATGGGTCTTTTGTGTTTTTGGTTTGGAGTTATTGGGTGGTGTTTTGGTCATTGCCATGTTGATTTTGTTATGATTAGATAAAATAAGCAATTTTATTTAGAGAGGAATGAAACAAGTAGATTCAGTTCCTCAGACTTCTTATATGTGAGAAAACTACATTGCCAATGGCCCATCAACCCACCAAAAGAGCCAATCTCTGCATGCTTTTGTTAGCAAGCATTGTATGAGATCCTAATCATCTAAACAATTGTATGCTATTTTCATTTTGTATACCAATCCTTGTGGTTTGTCCATGCTTGCATTGTCTTGCAGATGTGGTTACGAGTTTTGTTCTAATTGTGGAGCTGAGTGGTAGAACAAGAGAGCAGCATGTTTCTGCTAAATCTGGGATGTGAGTAACATTATAGCGAACGGCCACGACATGCACCGCCCATTGTACCTGAGCAGCCCCGACAAGTATGGCCACAACGATGATCAGGATTACCAGGACTCTTGTAGGTTACAAGTATAAATAGATTTAGGCTAATAGAGTCATCTTTTGCGTTTTGCTTTCCTTTGCTTTCTTTGTTATGAAAGAAAGGTGAAGGGTGTTTGAAAACCAAAATGTCAAATGCTAAGCTAAAACATTGCCCAGCTTTTTGGCAACATTAGTTATTTTTCAAGGGTACCATCCCCTCTTGACACCAAGAGGTACACTTACAAGTTTGAATTAAACAACCAAATCCATGGATTTTTTTTTCTGAGATCATTTTTGCTCACCACTTTAACCCAATGTGTACTCTCACCACCCTTTCAAAAAAGTGACGCATGTCCATGGGTTTAACTATAGTTAACTCTTTATTTTTTATTTATTTGATGACATTATTATGAAAGAGAAACAATGCTTCACTAAGATTTTTCATGATTTACCCTTATTCTATTAATTAACCCTACAAACTTTCCATTTTTCTATTAATTACCAATGAAATAAACAACAACCCAAATAATTAACAAAATCAGGACGATCATTACTCAAAAAATAATTGATTCATTCGACACAGTTGAACACTTTGACAAAAAACAAAACTCTTGAACGCCACTCCTCCTTCATAACCCCCAAAAAAAAAAAAAAATCAAATACTAAGAGGCTTTAACCCTGTGATTAATGGGAGGCTTTAATCTTGTGATTAATGGGAGGCTTTAATGCGAATTAACCTAACTAAATCAAATACTTTGATCACTTAACAAAAAAAACAAAACAAAACAAAACTGACAAGACAGTCAGCAGTTCACAGTAGCTATCAACCAAGGCGGCCAAAGGATGCAAACGAAGCAGAGAAGGCTGCAGGCAAACGTTCACAGCGACAACGCTACCTTTTCAATTTCCATTGTTTTGATTTATTTTTTAAATTAAATTAATCAAGAAAGTAGAAAGTTTGTTGAGTTAATGAATAGAATAAGGGCTAAATCAGGAAAAATCTTATTAAAATATTGTTTCTCTCTCATAATAATGTCATCAAATAAATAAAAAATAAAAAGTTAACTATAGTTAAATCCATGGACATATGTCACCTTTTTGGAAAGGGTGGTGACACTAACGAGGGTACACCTTGCATTAAAGTAGTGAGCAAAAATACTCTCTATTTTTTTCTCGTAGGAAAGTACTTGCTATTTATGAACCAATAAATTTCTTTGGTCTCCAGTTAGAATTGGTTAGTGGTTTTGAATTGACTCGTTATCTCAGTTAGAAATTATGTACTTTAAAATTTCTTCATCTAAAAATACCGTAAAGTTTTAAATGCAACATAAACTCTAAACCCTAAAAGTAACTTAGTACACCTTAATATTTTAATCAAAATATAAAATTAACTAAATACATCTTTTTAACTACCAAAAATACTCTTAATACATCTTAATACACTATCACACAACACCCTAAACATCAACATGCAAACTAAGCTCCAGCAAGAATGAAATCAAATATGTAATCTACCCCCGCTCATGCACACAAAAAAAAGGTAAATAATAATAATAATAAAGAGAGACCAAATATAAGATGAAACTTAGGAACATTAGCTATTGTGAAGAAAATACTTATTAAGTTGGACTTTCTAATTAGTTTCATCTCAATACACAAGTGAATCAGACAACTCTCAACATCACAAACAATGTAGTTATTAAGCTGGGGGAAAAAAAATCATGAAAAAACCTTCAAAAACTATAGAAGGAAAAGGAGAAAAGAGAGCATAGCAGTGGCGTGAGTGAGTTCTTCACCTTGTGGTCTGCCGCAAGAATATAGAGATAGCCTCTTCCAGTTTGAAGGCTAGACAATAATTCAACACAAGAATGAATTCAAGTTCAACGCATGATCTTCGTACTATTAGATGATTTGATCTTCTTTGTCGCTAACTTTTGCTTTGCTTCACCAAGTGAGTGAATGTTGAATGAACATTCAACGACACGTTCTTGCGCCTCTGCTAGTGCCCGCTGCATTGTTTGTTGCGGGCACCAAGCAATATAAAAACTTCTTTAAGTTTGATTAGGGTTGAATATGGTGAGTAGGATGTACTTATTAAAATTATATTTGTTTCATTCAATATATCCTTTTTCTTTGTTTAAAAAAGTTTAGGAGAGGGAAAGGCTACCCCTACACCGAGGGTCAAGGCAAACCCTAGACCTTTTCAAATTTACCAAGCAATTTACAGATTACCCACCAAACACGGAATTGCTAGCAGTAAGGTGTACTCAGTTAATTTTAGAGTTCGTTTAGCCGCACTCATATTTAATAATCAAATCTCAACTCGTTGAAATGTGCGTATTATTATTCACGATATATGTCAATTGCTTAAAGAATTTAATAAAATTTCCATCAATTTTCTGATTCAATACATTTTTTTGGGTTATTTTATAGGCTTATTTACTGTAGCGCCCTCTGAAACTTTGGTTAAATCTCACTTTACAGCCCCCCCCCCCCCCCCAAAAGTTAAAATGGCCCACTTTCATCCCTTAACCGAGGTTTGGTGATTCATTTTGCCCCCTGCTGTCAACTCCATTCAAAACTCTGTTAAATCTGATGACGTGGCATGGGTGTTTTTGTAATTTCGTATATATGGATCATTACTTACTAATTAAGTGAGTGACATGGCAAGTGGAGCCCACTTCTACATAAACAAAAAAAAGAACTCTTTATTTGAGTTACTGTGAAATTTCTCTCTTCGATATATGCTTTGGATGTTGAAACCAGACAAGAAACAAAAGAGTTTTAACATGGAAAATTAGTTTAGTTAACATAAAGATTGGTACGCAACATAAGTTCAATCAAGGAACAACACTATATATACCATTATCAGCCGCTATCAATGATTTCATTTGCAATATTGTTTTCCTCGTCACACCCGTTTTCGCATTTTCTATCGCATATGCTTTTCTTTTCAAAAGTTTTGGTTAAGCTTTAAGAAAATTGAACTCAAAGGTTTGCTTGGTCTTGTCGGCCATGTTACATATGCTTAATCAAGTGAACATCACATACGTATTATAATATTTAGGAGGTGTAAGATGAGCCAAAAGATGCAAATAGAATTTTCCGTTTGCTTGTTCAACTCAAAGAAAACTTTGTGATTTGATTTCCGAGGTATTTAAATCATCGATCATGTGATTAAATCTTATCCAGTAAGCACATAAGCTTTCTTTTTCATGAGATGATGAAATTAGGATAACTAAGCTATGGCAATGGTGCTATCAACTCAACTGTTTTGAAACACATCGCCATTTTCAAGAGTCGTTTAGCATTTGAAAGGAAAACTTCAAAGTTTGCAGGGAATCTTGAATAGAAATAATTGATTTTTCAAACCACGATTTTCACTCAAGCTTTTGAAATTATATTATAAATTAAATATTCAACACACTACACATTTTGCTAAGGGATAAGCTTCACAGAATAGGACCAAAAAAAAATTGTAACACTTCGCTAGAGATCAACTTCCCCACGTAATAAACTTTGTGATTTGATTTCGAACCATGTAAATCAGGAATAATTATAAATATTTGTAGACGACGACAAATATAAAACCCTAGTCAAAGTATTTTTCAGTGTTTTTATTTTTTGGTTCAATTTCCCTATGAAAAATATTATTTTTTGGTTTCTTTTCTTCTAGAGTGATGAGGAAAACCAATTTAATTAGCAAATGTTTAGACAAATCGCAATTGATTTCTACCACAATACCTAATGGTATGAGAAAGTTCAGTAGTCAACCAGTCCAAGCAAAACTGCCATGTGTATAACACATTGTCATTTGTTAGGTAATTTAAGGGAGAAAACTAACACATTTGGACAAGAAAATTGAACTTGAACCTTTGGACTCTTCCATAACTATTTTCCCTCGTTGAATGAAGTGTTGTCTCTTTACATCTAGGGTTAGGGGCGGACAAATTAAATTTCCGTTAAACCCAACTAACTTGACCTGAATAGTACCTCGATTCAATTTTACACGCAAAAAAGAAAACAATAATAAAAAATCAAGTTCTTTTTATGAAATGAAAGACCTAAACTTTCCACGATCAAAACATCAAATGGGAAACGTTTTAAAGAAGGAAAAAACCAGCTAAGTACATTCAAAACAAAATTGAAATTTTCTTGAATGCTTATAGTATAGTACCTATGAAATTGTTGTCTGCATTCAGAGGCGAAGTTCTACACGTGTCATTAGCATGTGAGAACCCCAACTAAGCCCATTTTGATTTAAACTAAGAGCACTTCCACCAGTTAGCTCCTTGTCATGGCAAGGGGAGCCCTAGGGCGGCTACTATTCAGGTGAATAGTGGCTGCCCTGGCACAAAAAAAATATATTGTGTTTCCAGCAGTGCAAGGCTTGACATGGCAAATACTATTCATTTTTTTTGTTATTTTCACAACTTTGTTTACTTAAACAATTAATTTGGATAATATTTTCGGATAAGATTTTTGGGTTCCTACGTGTCAATACTATTCATATCGGATTAGATTTTCGGTTTTCAGATAAATTTAAGATAAATTTCAAATTTTAGATAAATTCAAAATGTCAAATTTAAGATACATTTCAAAATTCAAAAATATTTGTAGACGACGACAAATATAAAACCCTAGTCAAAGTATTTTTCAGTGTTTTTTTGTTTTGGTTTAATTTCCCTATGAAAAATATTATTTTTTTGTTTCTTTTCTTCTAGAGTGATGAGGAAAACCAATTTAATTAGCAAATGTTTAGACAAATCGCAATTGATTTCTACCACAATACCTAATGGTATGAGAAAGTTCAGTAGTCAACCAGTCCAAGCAAAACTGCCATGTGTATAACACATTGTCATTTGTTAGGTAATTTAAGGGAGAAAACTAACACATTTGGACAAGAAAATTGAACTTGAACCTTTGGACTCTTCCATAACTATTTTCCCTCGTTGAATGAAGTGTTGTCTCTTTACATCTAGGGTTAGGGGCGGACAAATTAAATTTCCGTTAAACCCAACTAACTTGACCTGAATAGTACCGTCGATTCAATTTCACACGCAAAAAAGAAAATAATAATAAAAAAAATCAGGTTATTTTTATGAAATGAAAGACCTAAACTTTCCACGATCAAACACATCAAATGGGAAACGTTTTAAAGAAGGAAAAAACCAGCTAAGTACATTCAAAACAAAATTGAAATTTTCTTGAATGCTTATAGTATAGTACCTATGAAATTGTTGTCTGCATTCAGAGGCGAAGTTCTACACGTGTCATTAGCATGTGAGAACCCCAACTAAGCCCATTTTGATTTAAACTAAGAGCACTTCCACCAGTTAGCTCCTTGTCATGGCAAGGGGAGCCCTAGGGCGGCTACTATTCAGGTGAATAGTGGCTGCCCTGGCACAAAAAAAATATATTGTGTTTCCAGCAGTGCAAGGCTTGACATGGCAAATACTATTCATTTTTTTTGTTATTTTCACAACTTTGTTTACTTAAACAATTAATTTGGATAATATTTTCGGATAAGATTTTTGGGTTCCTACGTGTCAATACTATTCATATCGGATTAGATTTTCGGTTTTCAGATAAATTTAAGATAAATTTCAAATTTTAGATAAATTCAAAATGTCAAATTTAAGATACATTTCAAAATTCAAATTCCAGATAAATTTCAAATTTCATGTGAATTTCAAATTTCAGGTAAGATTTTCACCCTCTAAAATTGCGCCACGTGTCATCTCTATCTGCCTAAATTTTTCTATAAAAGCAGAGGCTCAGCTCATACCTCCCACACCATATTTTCTTTGCATTTCATTCTCCATTCTCAATGTCAGAGGACATGGAAGAGGTTTTGGAGAGGCAAGAGTGAGAAAGGCGGGCAAGAATGCGTAGAAGAGCTGCAAGCAAAAGGGCACATAGAGAATTAGATGAGCAACTTGGTGTGGCCGTTGCTTTGCTGGAGGAAGAAAACCTGAGCCGCCGTGGTTCACGAGAAGGCCGGGCACTGAATGTGGACATACATAGACATTCTCGGGGTAAGAATCTTATGGAAGATTATTTTATCCCACAATCTCTGTACTCTGATGTTCATTTTCGAGCAAGATATATAATGCAACCCCATTTGTTTAATAAAGTCATGCATGATATTTGCAGTTATGATGACTACTTTGTTCAAAAGAAAAATTGTGCTGGAGATTTGGGGCTGCTTCTCAAGCAAAAGTTCACAGCTGTGATACGAATGTTGGCGTATGGGTCATCTGCTGATTAGGTGGATGAGATTGCCCGGATGGGAAAGTCCACTATTTTGGAGAGCTTGGTGCGATTTTGTGATGCAGTGGAAAATCTGTACACCAGGGACTACCTGCACAGACCTACGCCTAAGGACCTGCAACGGCTTCTACAAAAAGCTGAGTCTCGTGGATTTCTTGGAATGATTGGTAGCATTGACTGCATGTACTGGCAATGGAAAAATTGTCCATTTGCTTGGCAAGAGGATTATGGGAATCGGAAATGGCAGAAAAGCATCATCCTCGAAGCAGTTACTGGTTTTGATACATGGGTTTGGCACGCCTTCTTTGGAGTTGCCGGCTCTCAAAATGATTTGAACGTCCTAGGTCAATCTCCGGTGTTCAATGATGTTCTGAGAAGTGAAGGCCCAACTATCACATATCAAATTAATAATAACGTCTACCAGAACGGGTATTATCTAGCTGATGGTATCTACCCGAGATGGACAACATTTGTGAAATCAATTCCACATCCCTGATCCCACAAGGAATTTTTTTTTGCTGCATATCAAGAGGGGTACAGAAAAGATGTGGAGAGGTGCTTTGGTATCCTTCAAGCTCAATGGGCAATTATCAGGAGAGCGGCACATCTATTTAATGAGGAGGTGCTTAGGAGTATAATGATGACTTGTATCATCCTCCACAACATGATCGTGGAAGATGAGTATGATTACGATGCTGATGAAGTGTATGAACCAGATCCCATGAACACGATCTTAACACGAATTTATGAAAAACCTATGGGGCCAAATGGAGAACCCGTGCAGCATGATCCGTTAGTTAGAGACGGTAGTTTCATGCATCGGATGATTGAGCGCTACACGGAGATGCAATCGTCATATATTCATGAACACCGTCAAATGGACTTGATGGAGCATTTGTAGGCGGTGAAAGGCAATAAAGGACAATAAAGTAAAGTGAAGATGTTTTTTTAATGTATTATGTTTATGTTGTATTTTTAGTTATGCTTTGTTGTTTTTTTATGCTTTAGTTGTGGTTTGTTTATTTTTTATGCTTTGGTTGTGTTTGTTTATTTTTTATACTTTGGTTGTGGTTTGCTTTTTATGTATGGAATGTTTTGAATAAAAAGGAATGTTGTTGAATATTTTCTTCATTCACTAAAAGAAAATGAATACAACTCATAAAATAAAATACATGAATTACAACTACTTTTTTAAACAAAACAAAAAATACAATGAAATGAAAGGCAAACAAACTAACTTAATGGTACAATGAAATGATAGGAAAGCAAACCAACTTAATGGTTTTGATCATTTAACCAATCCGTGTTGCTAGGTCCATCGTCACAAAAAAGTCTTCGTCTCATAACATCCCTTCGTTCTAAATTCCAAAATTGTTTTGTTTCGGGGGACATATGGGTTGTATCCATAGCCATGGTTTTCCGATCATTTTTTTCAATCTTTCCTTGGCATACATACTCCCTTTCTTTTGCATATTCTACTTCCATTGCCCTATCGTGCTCTTGTTGTTTCATATCCATTTCAATTATCATGACTTGCATCTTTAAAAGCTCCTCCAAATATTTAGATGTATTCTTGGTAGAATTACTCCCTCTCTTCGCTTTCGCTGCCTTCCTCCCAATAGGCCTCGGCTCTTTTTCGATAGGTGAGTCTTGACTCATCGGGGAATCCACAGGTGAATCTAATGTCGGTGTCTCATGGAGTGGCATCTCGTTCAACACTATCATTGGACCCGTTGGAATAATTTGGAATCTCTTACAGTTCTTCACCACCTCCTAACATAGGGTATGGTTGAAACTTTTTTTTCCTTACCCAGTAGCACCAAAAAACATTTGTGCTTGCATAATCTATGCAAAAAAAAAAAAAAAAAAAAAAGGAAAGGCAAGAAACTTTAAAAAATATTGGCAATGCAATAAGTATAAAAAAAAAATAATGGAAATACAAGAAACTTTAAAAAATATTTAGAAATGAAAAACAAAATTAAAATATTGCAACAAACATTCATATTAATATTGGAAATACAAGAAATATTAACAACGCAAGAAACTTTAACCATTTATTAGAAATGCAAAACAAAATATAAATATTGCAAGAAACATTCATATTAATATTGAAAATACAAGAAACATTAACATAATATATAAGTTGCAAGAAACATTTAAATAAAATTTAATATGACATAGAAATTAATAAAACAAATAATTACAAATAATTTACCTCACTGCTAAGGTTTTCCCCGCTTTTATGGTTGTTCATCGCTTTTGTCAAGGCATCTCTCCATTTTCCCAGCTCTTTATTAAGAATTTTCTACCTACTAGATAATACTTGATCCGTACGGGTCGAACCAATTACCCTTTCACAAAACTCCTGATGAATTTTTTTCCACATATGACAGAATTTGATCTCATTGCCCGTTACGGGACAATGACTAACTTGGAGCCAAGCCTCACACAAGCTAATATCTTCTGTCATGCTCCATGCCCCTCCTCCGGTTTCACTAGAAGAACTCATAATATGATAGAGAAAAAAAAACTTGAAAGAGAGAAAAAACACAACTTGAAAGTGAAAAAAAAATTGAGTAGAAAGTGAAAAATAGTAGAAGGAGAAGAAAATGTATGAGGAGTTGGTGTTAAAAGTGAAGAATATTGGTTGGTATTTATAGAAAAAAAAAATTCAGTATTTTTTTAGTAATTTTTTAAAATTTTTTTCGATTTTTTTTCATTTTTTTATTGGGCAAAAAATTGTCTGCCGTTGGATTGTTGGAAAAAAAAGATCGGAGATCCCAGGAGCTTCCACGTGGCAAAGAGCCGTTGGGGGGGTTGCTTTTTCGATTTTTTTATTCGCGAAAAAATGGCTGCCATTGGATATGTTTAAAAAGCTGATCGGATGGCCCAGTAGAAGACACGTGGAAGAGAGCCGTTGGGCGGTCACTGTAGCGGCGAGTCAAATTTTTTTTAAAGCTAGCGCATGCACCACGCGCCGGCTTTAAAAAAATTTAAACCCACGATGACGTCAACACAACCTGCGGGCTGGCGCTCGGGCCAGCCCAGATATGTGGGCCCCACTACTTGCCCTGGCAGCTTCTTGTTGCTGGAAACCACATTTTGGGTTTGCCTCCCCCTCCAACCCTCCCCTTGGGCCCCTTGCTGCCAATGCTCTAAGAAAAGAGTTTATTTTTACTAAGATGACCCAAAAGAAGACAAATTGGTAATAAAATTGAAGGCCCAAAACAAAATAACAAAAATACACAAAAGCGGACCAAGTGTTATACCCAGTGGGCTTTCCTATTGGTATTATAATAGTGTATCTTAGAAAAGTAAATAAAAGTGACCTAAGTTAGTGCTGTGCCCATTGTAACTTTCCTAGTGGTACACTTATGTTAAGCCTTATAGTAACTTCAGTGTTTATTTTCGGAAAGGCTATAATGAGGGCTTAAAGTGAGGAGGTTATTTGAGGAGGTCAAATCTCACTATCAACAAATGTAAAGAAATCATGGAACTTAAATATTTTAAATGTTTTGACGGTCGGATCGGTCTCCTCAAATAACCTCCTCACTTTAACTCCTCATTGTAGAAGCTCCCGTTTACTTTTCTTACGTACAAGATTGGTAACTTATTTTATAGGTACCTCTTTCGGTTGTGAACTCTTTTTACTTGAGCTTCTTTGGGCCCGCGTGCTCTCGTGGGTCTAAGTTCTATTAGTTTTCTTTTTCTTTTTCCTTATAAAAACAAAAAAACAAAAAAAAAAGGTCAATTTCAATTCTAATTCCATTCCCTAACATGAATCATCCACCAATCAATAAGGCCCAGGACATCATATAGGACTATTTATTCCTATATTTCTATGTCCACTCGTTGGAGCACACGAGTATAATGACCCTAGTGGTGAAGTAAAACTTCCATGTCATTGTCATTGGATTTATCTCCACTCTCTGTCTCACTTTTTTATGTAATTCGAGTGGTGGAGTAAAGCTTCATTGTTATGGGAATATATATGTCTACTTTCTCAATTTCAATCTCACTCATTACATAAGTCACGATAAGTGAGATAGATAGTGTCGATATATCACCAAGTACATAGATAAATTATTCTGCAAATAAGGAGTATTTAGAATTAGACTACATCAATGGTTCGATTCTCACTCTCCTATATACAAAAAACTAATTTATGAGAGTGCCTAACCCAATCCTGTATCTCATGTCATGAGCTGTTATATCCAAAGATTCAATTGTCATGTATCATAAATGCTCGCCAAAGTAGTCTATTTTGGCCAGACACACAGAACATAAACAAGAACAATTCCAAGGTTATACTTGTCAAAGCCTAACAACAAACGTTTGCTATGTATACATTTTTATGTGCAGCCGGATATGAAGAGACATGAAACACACTGAGAAAATACCACATCAACCTGATATCTGTTAATATCTAGAAAGCATGAGCATGTGTTGGACAATGGCCTCATGTTTCATAAGGACCAGGGGTTGGCCAACTAAACGAGAAAACCAAGCGTGCAGTGCAGCTAAACTCAAGTGTAGCATTTAGAAAGTATCGGATTTTCATGCGCTGAGAGGGACTAAAGGTCTTTTGTATTGGAGATGAGCATATTCAGTCACTTCAGTAGTCCGTTGTCACGAATGAGAAAGGAAATGATGACTTCCAATCCCAAGCAAAATTGCCATCTGCATTGCAAACAACTCAAGCACTTAACACCCTGTCAACATATGTTTAATAATTCGTAATTGGAATCAAGTACTAAGACAATGACATGTTTACATAATCAGAATCCGTAATCAGACGCATCTACAACAATGGCACGTTCACTAATCCATTATCGGTATCAAGCTCATTAAAGTGGTCTTCAACACATACAAATATTCATGTTTACAAACACACATGAGTTTTACTTACTGTATTGGTGGAAATATGAACAGAAAGCATAAACTAGCTGCAAATTGAAGCATTTCTTTTTCTTTTTGATAGGAAATATAGTACACTATCTTCAAAAATCACTTGGTAAAAACTCTCCCTTCCCTTCCAATCCCAATCCTGGTATTGGGGCAAGTATTTTCCATCATGGCTAACTAGTTCCAACTTCTAACCAAGCAAAACATCTAAAGAGTTTGACTGGTATATATATAAAGCAGACAAGAAACAAAAGAGTTTTAACTTGGAAAATTAGTTTAGTTAACATAAATAGTGGTACGCAACATAAGTTCAATCAAGGAACAACAGTATATATACCATTATCAGTCGCTATCCCAATATAACACACTCCTCTCCAGAACATCAATGAATTGCCAAAGTTTAGGCTCATTATTTCATCCTCAAACTAGAAGCCATTAGTATATATATTATACATTATGTGGGAAGAGAGACAAATCAACCTTTGATTTTAAAAATCCTCCGTAGATAACTAGACGCATTTGAATTTTGACATATAATGGTCTATGTTTTGTCAAAGTTTCTGATACCTGAATAAGTAGACACATTATCTGTAGAAACATTTTCAAGCTAGGAGAGTCGTGAGAAGGCACACCTAAATTTATATATTTGGCCTTCTATATACTGCAAGATGCCAAGTGATAGGAATACAAAGTAAATAAATCATCATAGATAAAGGGAAAAGTCCAAAAGAGTGCTAGATATTCCAAAAAAAGGAATTAATACCAGAAATTAAGGATGCAAGTGAGAAGGCATTTTCACCTCCTGCCATATGCACAACCACTGTAATACCTTTATGGCCGTTGTAGGTGCAGCAGTTCCAAATTTCATTGTCCACAAATGCACATTAATTTCACAGTGATTTTTTTATCAACGCCAACAAAGCAGGATCTACTTCATCTTTCGACAGTAAATTAACTATCAACTCCATTGTTGATGCATCTGCAGAAAAACCCTTCTCTACCATTGTTTGAATAAGTACCATTGCCCTTGATGTCTGTTTATTATGGATGAACCCTCGGATAATTGTGTTATAGGTCCAACCATCAGGAGAACAGCCTTTCTCTTCCATTTGGATAAGCAAATTTTCTGCTTCACTTGTTAGGCCTGCGAAACAGAGTCCACTAATCATTATATTGTATGTCCTCACATTAGGTTCAAGTCCTTTTGATAATAAACCACAAAAGATATCCCTTGCAGATTCAATTTTTCCAGCTATGCACAAACCTTCAGTAAGAATATTGTAAATCACAATATTAATATCCAACTTCTTAGCTTCCATCTCTCCAAACAATTGCATTGCCCTAGAAAGTTGTCGGTTTTTACACAGGCCATCAAGTAAAATAGAATAAGTTTGAGCATCTGGAAGCTGGCCACAAGCTTGCATCTTAGAGAACAACTTTTGTGCATCATCTATTCTACCCACTTTGCAAAAACCGTCCATAAGAGTGGTATAAGTAACGGTATCTGCAACTAGCCCCTTATGAGACATATCCAGAAAAAGCATCATGGCCTCATCAATCTTTTTATGCTTACAATATCCATTTATCAATGTGCTGTAACTAACAACATTAACCATCGAGCCCTTGCTAAGCATTAGTTCAAAAACCTTTTTCGCTTTGTCCATTCTTCCTCGCAAACAGTAACCATCCATTAGTGAATTGTATGTAACCGAATCAGGATCAATATCTCTTTGAATCATCATCTCAACCACGCCTTCTGCTTCCACGACCATTCCCTCCTTACAAATTGTGTCTACCAAGATGCTGAACGTGAACACATCTGGAAATATATTTCTACTCGCCATTTCATTCAACAACCTTGTAGCTTCTTTCCACTCGCCTAATTTGCAAACTCCATTCATCAAAGAGTTATAGGTAATGACATCTGGGGCAATACCCTTGTTCATCATTTCTGAGAAGAGGTTTAACGCATCGTCAACTAGTGTATCCTTACAAAGACTGTCGATGATTGTGCTATAGACAACTAGGTCAGGCTTGCAAGCTCCTTCCTCCATCTTCCTAAGCAACTGAATAGCAGCACTGTTGTTACCTTTCATGCAAAAGCCCTTTACTAGTGTGCCATAAGTAACCACATCAGGCTGACAATTACCTCCCGCAATCATTTTGTTGAAAATTCCTGCCGCCTCCGCCACTTTATTCTCGAGAAGAAAGCCATTTATTAGAGTGGTGAAGGTAAAGACATCAGGTTCAAGACCAAGTTTGAAGAATTTTCCCAATACAGATAAACTAAACCCCTGTTTAGATGACAACAACAATTTATGAGAATGTTTAGAGTATAAACATCAGGTCCAATTCCCGACACATCCATTTGGTAATACAAGGAGATGACGGCCGAATAATGTTTTAATTTCGCAACTTGACCCAATATTTGATTGAAACGAACAACTGAAGGCGGAGGACGCATTTGAAGCATTCTATCAAACACATTGAAAGCATCCTCAACAGTTGTGATTTTGGGTGAGTTTCTCACTGGCTGCTCTAGTTTGGTTCTTGTAGATTTGATTGGTTTATGAGGTTGAGAGTGAAGGAAAGCAAAGTAATCGTTGGCGAAAACAACAAGAGTGGAGTTAGAGTGAAGACAAGGCATACCTCTCCATCTCCTGCTGGTGCAATAAGAAGAAGAAGAAGCAGCTATATTCCGCATCATCATCTTCAGCATCTCAGTGAGTCAGTGAGTCTCAGCCAACCTTCAACATTTGGGAAGCGATACCAAATCTGTTTCTCTCTTGCTCGCTAACCCTATATTCTTTAAGATTTTAGCCTTCATTCTACTCTAGTTCTGTGATATTTGAATGAATCCATGACATCTATCATAATTAGCCTTCTATCCCATATATATGGTTTACGCTGACCATGAAAGAGACTCTTGTGAAAGAGGTCTAAAGGAATGGAACTTACAAAGAATTTATTTCAGTGGGTTAATTGTTACCGGTGAATCGTTTGGGAGTGCTTTTGGAGCAGCGAAAAGCGCTTCTAATTGAGTGAAAGCACTTCTGTCTTTTAAAAATGGTGTTTGGCAAAAATTGCAAAAGCGTTTTGGGTGAAATTCAAAAGCACTTGGAGTGGTTTTGGAAGAAGCACTTGAGAGGTGCTGCTTCTTAAAAGCGCTGCAGGACAAAAACACATGAAGCACTTGGATCCCTTTAATGAAACTTTTAAAATACCAAAAATGCCCATATTTAATTTTTTTAAATGCCAAAATATCCTTTCTTTTTGTTTTATTTTTTATTTTTATTTTCTCTCCTATTAAAACCAAAACACTACCTGTGAAAAGCCCAACAGATGGGATATAAGAGCATGCCAAGGCTGCAGTACCAAGAGTTAAGAAGCAAATCGGAGCGCTGGGGGAGTGCCACGTGGCTTCCACCCGTTGTGGCTGGGGGGGGGGCGGGGGGCAGGGGCGCCGGGTCGGAAAGTTTGTTCACAC